AAAGATCTTTTACGTTTTATTTTCAACTAAGGGAAAGGTAAGTCGCAAGGGACACCTCATTAGATTCTCCTCTGTTTCAACACCACAGATGTTCCAATAAAAACCAAGCACGGATAACTTATCTGTATTATTGGTTTCCACAATAGTGTCGACAGCAGAATGAAGCGTTTTATGCTCTCAGCCTCATAAAGTGATAACCATTTTTTATCAAGAGTTCAGGAAATGGACACTTTGTTACTAACTGAGTTCAGTTTCACAGAAGTGAGGAGAATGACTGAATGGTCATTCATCTGTGAAAAGCCGAACGATGCACACAATGAAACAGACAAATCTGCGGGTTTGCGAACTTAACCAGCAGTTCCGATTGAGGCTGTAGGATGACAGAAAGAGTTGGTGTCAAGTGTTTACCGCACGAAATATTTGTGCACAATACGCGCCACCTAACCAGGTAAACCGGCTTCCTTAGAGTTCAAGGTATGCTTCAATCCAAATACCGTTTTTTGATTTGCTGAATGTCATAACCGAACACAAACACTGCGCACTCACACAATTCGTGTCGTCAATGAAAGGCTGGAATGCAAATTATTTTGGCACCAGCTATCTTCCCACTGAAAAACTCACATATTGCTGTCCTGGATAACTGGTTCGTCAATGTGCTTGTGCTAATTCTTGGGTGAGGTTCTCAGTTGCCATTGATTTGATCCAGACGATTACATTAGAGTTAAAATCTTTCCACCTACTTAAGAGACGCCTTTAAATGACCTTAACAACTGGAGCCTGACACGAGTTGGTGGATTCTTACTATCAACAAAGCGCTGTGTATGCGGCGCGATATAATCCTGCCCCAAAACCGTACCTCTAGACCTGAATTCACATGGCCGCTGCTTTTCACAGTAGACCACGGTAGCAAGCGATAGACCACATTAGTTGATCGAAACTCCCAGCTCCATGTATAATCCACCGCGCTGTATAAAAAGCAGTCTGTGGGGTGGTTAGGACGTGAACACGACTCCACAATGATTCTCTGGTAAACACAGGGCAAGGCTTGATTGAAACAGCCCCAACGAAACGCTAAGCAGTGCCAATATGATCCAATTATCTGGAGTCCTTAATATCCCTGATTTGAAGCGTTTTCAGCAGCATTCTGGAACTTCTAACCTGACTGCCCCTCAAGCAGAGTTGACATCGATGGTACGGTAAGCTAGCGAACAAAGATGACGACATCAGCCGGCTGAAATCAGTCAGTACCATCCTGTCAACCTAATATTCAAGTCACAGTAAACGTTGAAAGTCAGCTCGATGGAGGTAACCGAGTTCACTGACAAACTGCTAAGCGAAAGATTCTAGTTGAATAAACTTCACTCGACCGCTGATCTCTGATAGACCGTTTTGACTGAGTGTTGCAGTGATCCGGTGGGCTGCACCCCGGCAAGGTTCGACCAAGACAGAATGGCGATGAGACCCCACAATACGAGTAATCTTAGTAAGAGTTGGTCTGGGAGTAAGGTCATACCCTCCCCTTTGATGAGAGTGTGAAGGCAATAAGTCGTTTTCCACGAGTGAATAGTATGTCGATTTTCGTGTAAGAAGCGGTACTGCCTAGCCCTGATGGAAGAACAGGATCGAAAAGGTGGGCTCTAACAAGCAGGCATTTCGACAGCCTTAGGATTATAAATATCGCCTGCAGAAAAATCCTTGCCATGAACCTGATCTGGCTCCAACCGCATCTACCGTATGCGACACCATTAAAATGAGACATCTGTCTTAGTGCCTGAACCCTCAAGCTAGGTCATTTTCTTGCAGCTGAGCAGGACAGAATATTTAGTCATCGGCTTCGAGTACGGTTCTTCTACTCGCTCTCTCGTATGTCGACATTTTGGATAAAAGCCCAAGTTGTGGTGCCTTAATCCAACAAGTTTCCTTGGCCTTCACCCCCTCCCATGGAAGTATAATTTTCTTGCAGTACTCTTTGCACACATTCCCACCCTACAAACGAACGCCGCTGGATCACTTGACTCAGTTATATGACCGATTTGCCTGGTTCAAACGAGTATTCTTTAACAGAAAGCAACATGACATGATATCCATTCCACATAGGAGCTTTTAAATACCGTAATCTGTAGAATTATCAAAGAGACATTGCTTGCCCAGACCTTATACTTCCTTAAAATTGATGTATGCTGTGTCCAAAGCATATGAGTGCAACCCCATGTGTAACTGTGCATCTGAAATCACCGATGCCACTCCAAATTAAGGCTTTTTTCTGTCTGTTGCGTCAGATTTTGTCCAAACAGGGTTCAGCTCCGACGCTGCGGAGCATACTTCCTATTGTGGGTCAACAAGGCTCATCCATCAAGCGGGAAGCACTGGCACTGACAAAATGAATGCCAATCTCGCTCGTTTGGGCTCTTTGGGACCACACCCGGGAGGGGTATGTTCGCTGCACAAATGTTAGGTGATGCCTGCATTTGTGTATGGACCATAAACCGATCTGGTCCGCTCAGACTTTGAACGCAAGCACTTGCACCACGTAACGTGGCGGTCACCAATGCGTAGCTGTCTACCTACATCTTCCCAGATAATAACCGAACGAATCTGAGGCAGCTGCGTACACTTTGGCTGAAGATGATGATGTCTTGCATATCGCTTGTACGGCCGAATAGTTTGCTAGTGTTTAGCGCTCCTAGGATTCCTGTCTACTGCTGCACCCAGAAGCCCATCTCAAACCATCTATGTTGATTATGATGACTCGGTTAACCGCTTATGTTTCAGAGGTTAGGTTACTCCCGGAGTCTGTCGCGTATACAAACCTAATTTCTCTAATTCTGGCCCTCATTGGTCCGATAAGCTTGGTCTAGTTGATGTCCAGGCCATTCCAGCAATCAAAACTACTTTGGATTGTCTCAAGTGGCTGAATATACCCGTTGTAGTCATGAGAACGAAGAAGGTAGCGAACAAAGCTTGTTTTCTGTGATTGTGTTCATCTTGGCTATTACATCACAAATTTATATGGTAGCAGGAATTACGTGGAAAAGGTTAAGATCGGGGTTACATACACTTTAGAGAAATATAAGTCAAAGGAAGGGGGGTTGAGTGAGGGGTATGTCAATGGGTCACGGAGTCAAGTAAGTGACGTCACATGCATCATACGTTGGTCGTACGACAAGGCATTTGTCGGACGGGCCACTCCAGCAATCAAAACTACCTCGCTCCCTTCCTGAGCATCCTGCATTTGGGCCGTAAACAGGTTGTTCCAAGTGTCATCAAAAAACTGGTTGAACAAATCATCTGAGCGTCCCTTACACTGATGCATGCTCTAGCTATAAAAAGAATGATAAGTCGGATAGAGCTTCCTTCGGAACAGAGTGAATTGTATTGCAGAATAAATCCAAGTTTGACAATTCCTAGTATCGTCACTACCCCCAAAAACAAACCGAAGTCAAGAGGATCACACGTCAAAACCCAGTGAAGTGGCACAATCATTTCTGTTTTATTTTTTCGGCATTTTCAGTGATATCTTCAATTTTAGCTAACAATCTGACTGATCTGGTGTTCTTTAGGTAAATAGAAAGTCTTGCTAGGATGATAATTCTAACGTGGCAAAGCAGACGTAGAGTTTTCAAATAATCGCAATTTCTGCATCATCGGTTTTCAGGAAGTTCGAACTTGCCCATTTGATTTCTTTCGTTCGACGCAGTGCTGTATTCCCCTAACCGAATCCTGTTGCGCACCGATACATCATAGACGTTACTCATCAGACGCAGTCAAGTTTACCTGGTTCTTTGAGGTCAGTTTGCAATTCTGCGCAGAATCAATTACGTGAAAGCAAACCGTGAATTCCGAGGGTATTGATTTCCGGTGAGCCTAGAGCAGGCTCACAGAGCTGATGTACACTTAATGGACTCATGCTAGTTGGAATTAACTCAGAACCAAAGCATTCCAAAGTGACAGATTTTCATTGTGGTGTGTCTCGGAAGCAGTGTGGAAGCGTTTATCTATCCTGGATAATGTGAAGAATGTTATGCGTAACTCATTTTCTGACACGGATATGCTAAACCCGTTTTGAATACGGTGCACCCGATGACCACTTTCAAGAGAAAGGAAACCTACTCAGATGGTATTCTTTAACATGTGAGGAATCTAAGAAGTATCGCTCAGGACGTTTCTGACTTTCAGTGAATAACAAGAATATATGATCCTTCGGGAGAGCGGCCATTGTGCAGCACATTCAGTTGAAGATAACAAAGGAGAGACTCAGTTGAGTCTTTCGTGAAAACCAGCTCGATTTTCAAATGAGTGTATTTGTCGAAATCAGTCCATTTGAGGTTCAAGTAGAACATGAAGTCGACGGAAACTCGGAAACCGCGGCTACCTGAAGAGCCCCAAAAAGGCAAAACCGGCTGTGGACTGTCAAAGGGTTTTCAGCTACCCTGTGAGTAGTTTTCATTATGAAGAGGCAATTGTAAGTTTTGTTAAAAATAGCCCCCAAGGCAGTGTCAAAGGGAAAGACGAAACTCACAATCACCTTACCAAAAGGTATTAGGGGTAAAGGACTTCTTTTCCACATTTCTACATCAGACACAAAAACGAGCATAGGTTAAAGGGAGCCCATTAACCTACGCATAGTCAGTAGAACAAGAAGGTCGCAGAAGAGACTAGGTTGGTGACTGAAGATATCGTTAGCGTTTATTTATTAAGAGGGTGATCACAAGAATAAGGAAATGAGATGTGCGGAAGGGTGCACAGGAAAAAATTGGATAAAACAAGTAAGTTCTATTCGAAGGCGGGTTATCAACATTGTCATGTCAGAGGAGATGATTCTCGACGTATGTAAAATTGCTTGATATGGAAGCACACGTGTGAAGACTAGCAAGTGAAGATAGGACGGACAATGTTGAACTCTGTTCAAGGCACCGTAATCGCTCGCAGTTTAGAATGGGACATCAGTCACAAAGTTTCATAATGGCCCAGGTTCGGAAGTCGACAGCAAGAATGAATACTCAGTTGAATCTACTGCATATAAAACTGTCATACAGGGCAAAAACGGCAAGCTCACACACTGCTCGTGACCTTTGAAAGACGCATTTCAACAACAGCCTTGAGAGACTGAGAAGAGCAGCTGCCTCGATAAAAATGATCATTTTTTGGTGTACTAAAAAGTCAGCCTCACGAAGGATGATGTGTAGGGCTGAGGTGATTAAGGGAAAAAATAATAAGTACCGTTTTTCTGCTTCTTTAATTCCAAAAAATGCAAATGCATTCAGCGAAAACTACGCTAACATTTGTCACGGCTGCTAGGGGCCCTTGAAAAGCGCATAGGTGTGGCTTGATGAAAGACGCCGACGTAGGTGCTCTCAACTCTTCAAAAATGTGCATCCCGGAAAACTGATAACTATTTGCGAGTTCCCATGCAACCTGATTAGTACGAACACATCCAGTATCATGCGTGATCCAGCGGAACTGCAGAACTCTTTGGTTGACCACAGTTGCAATGACAAAAGATCGTCGGACCAACACGAGCACGCTTAGAGCTTCTAACTATCACCGGAACTTTAGTTTCCGGAAAAAAATATCCGAGGAAACACGTTAGCCAAGCTTTACACACTCTCTGGGTGCGATGGACGTACACGATGATCTGAGATTAGGATAAACTCCAAAGTACAGGTATCTCGATTGACTCAGTTTGGACCACACCGTTTTCGTCTCTGGCCAACTCAGGTGGCTGCGGAAAACTATCGTATATGAGCCTTTTCAGTAGATGTTTCCCGTTCTCTCGTAAGCACTGGCACCTTGCGTGAACAGGTGTGTGTTTCAAGGTGGGCACTGATCATGCGACCCTTGGTTCAATCAGATTTATGCACACTGTTATCATACTGTAATTCACGGAGTCACAACTCGAGGTCTCCATATTTTGGCTGGGGGTGCAAAAACCTTCTAAAAGAGTAGATAGAACAGAAACACAAGTTCAAATCAATGAACTGTCTGACCGAGTGAAGGACCTCTCTTCAAGTTATAACTAGATAACAGTGTAGTTGAAAGCGAAAATCGTGGCTGGAATGTGCGTTTTTCGTCTGTTATTAAGCAATACTTTCGCTGCCTAATGCCTGGACACTAAGAATCTCCCAGTGTTCTTGAAACCAGAGATATGATTTGGCATCCACATGGGCGACAAAAAGGAACTAAATATTAAAACTGGCTGAGAGGTTTTCAAATAGATGAAAACCTAAGAAAAATCCGACTTGTGAAAATAGTTTTGTTCGTAGACAATTTGACAAACAGTCCCAGCGTTGTGCTAAAACTGAGCCATGGGCCACAGTCCTCAAACCAATTGAGTCTAAGACACCATGATGGGGCGTTTCAAAACACATCCATAAACCAAATGCATATTTTGAGACATTCTGAATGGGCAAATTTCGGCCTATCAGGAAACATCCTGTTCGACGGCCTGCCTATTTTCTTCCAAGCTGGATGCTCTAATTTTTCATTTTTTCAAATATCCATCTAAACATTTTCGGGCACTTCGTATTTTACCTTCAGATTCATTAAAGTTGTGTCTCGTCGGTGTGGATTCGTTGTTTGCTAGTATTTGCTAAAAGAGACAGCTGACTAGTTTTGTTACCAGAGTCCCGCTAGGTAGACCAGATGGTTTGTTAGTGCTAACACGTTCCTCTATGTATTAGAATTTGTATTATTTTTGAAGAAACTGTTTACAGAATGACTGTTCAATAGCAGTCTGGATCTGCTATTTTTTTGACAAACACTGAGGAGCAGCCGTGCGATAATAAGTGATATTTTTTCTTCACAAAAATGGTCTTTAGTCCAATCGTGATTTTAGTTTGTGTTTATCATTGTGGATAGAATACACAGAAAAATTTCAGTGTTTCAATAAGAGGAATCGAATGAAGGACAACTCGTTGAATGAATGTAATGTTGAAGAGGTTATTCTATTACAAAACCATATGAAATAATCAACATCGATGCCTGAAAACTTCACACGTAAAAACGAGGATTCTAGAGACCGCGTTTCACAGAGCAAGGCAGTCATGTACCTTAGACCAACTGGCTGGAGACATTTTCCTTATGGAGACACAGAACAACAACGGCTGCCAGAGCAGGTTCACCACTCTTCATTGAAGAGTAAACTCGCCATTTGACACACTCATCACTGTCCCTATTGTGCCCAGCGTCTATTTGTGATCAGGTTGCCAGATAGGTGAGACTATAGCTCAAGTATTTCTTGAAAAATAAGTTTCAGGAGGTCCATTTACGCCTTATCATTCAGATGACTATCCAGAGGAAGGCCTGTTTATTCTGCTTGACGTTATTCCTCAGTTGCAATGGAACGCGTGGAACGGATCGGTGCCTCTTCTGGCAGACCCTGCGCACTTCCAGAAAAGTTAGCGTGATCCAAATAACTAGCAGATACTGTTTGAATATCTAAAAAACGTATATGCTGTTGTACCCGGAATAGGTCACATTTTCAATCAACTTCAGAATTTCAGGTTTGTTATGCACCCGATATCCACGCCTTCTTGTAAACCCGATTTACTCAGTGCTCATCTGAGTGCCACAGAACTGACCCAAAATGAAACACCTTTTCAGAAAACCGGGTGTGAACTTCAATGTTCAGACTTCGTTAGTATGGCTTACCTGTAGATTTAGAGCATTTTACGTCTGTGGTTGAGTAGATTAATTTGAAATATTAAGATATTGCAACGTTTTGTCTGTTGTTCTGATGAAATCGGTTGGAGGGACTCAGCTTACCGAAATTTGGGGTTGTGCGTATAACAAAATTGACCATAAGTAATCTAACCTAACCAGAAGGAATGATAGTGTTCCCACAGTTATCCATATGGAATAGCAGACCGAAAAATAGCTGAAGGAACAGACTTTTTGTCATGTGTTAGCTAATTGTTTGAGGGGTAACTAAGCCCAGGGATTCTTCTAATTTTCTTCTTTGCAACGTCTAACCCGTCATCCAAACTGATTTATCCAAACAAACTGCATATACGGTACTTTTTTTCCAAGATGCTGAGAAGATTTTGTACCACAGCTCTGTGTAGAAATTCGAAAAGCGAAGGATAATAGATGCTGAAAATGGCCGCTATCGAGAGGCCTATGGTTAATAAGTCTTCTTAGGAACACTTAGCGTCTTGTCTTGCTTTCGATTAAGCGAGATGCGGATTTATTTGGAATCTGGTACGGGCAACGCGTTTTAGTATGAGTGATTTTATTTACGTTATATTAGCAGAGCCATTCCAACCGACCCCTTTCACTTTTGTTTCTATCATCCCTTATTTATGAAGACTATCACTACAGAAATAAAAGCGCACAGACTTAAGAAACGGATAGTCCACCAAGAGATGAAAGGAAGGGAATAACTCCAGAGGGCCAGATCGTTACTTCACTCAATTATGGAGCTGCAACAGTGCAAGCGATGTTCACTGTTGTTCAAGATAAAGACAGAACAAGCATATCAAAAAACCATGTACCAAGCAACAGGTACTCGTCATATGGAGATAACTAGGAAAGACCCACAAGAAATAACATCCAGGGTGACTTCCAACCTCTTCATCGCTTGAGAAAGCTAGTAGTCATTATACGATAACCCAAAACACACAGCTTTGTTGTCTCTAAGGCGAACCAACTTCCTGACAAACTAAAGCGTTATGTTTATTACCAGATTTTGTTACTGGTTCGTACTTGTGTACGAATAAGGCAGACGACCTTGGGGGTTGTAATTTGTTGGATAATGGTACCCTTCCAATAAATCTATAATTGCAATTTTGGGGTTTTCGCGGGATATGTATTTTGTTCGTAGTCACACCACTCTCGTTTGAACGGCCGTCCTCCTGTTCTGGCGCAATTATCCCGGTGGGCCCACACCAAAGGAAGCACTGGACTCGAGTTTCGCTCTTATTAATGCTCATCAGCAGTGCATATCCGATGGCCATGCCTGGATTTAATTTGTATTCGTTGATAATTTGTCTGTCACTTCCTCTGCGTCGAGAAGGTTGACACCAAATTTTCTTCGAGCGGCTAATGAGAACGGTGTCTTCCTGAAGTCAGCAAGCTTCCTCAAGTAGAAGCCAACTGTCTGCTCCAAACACTCCTTGCATCAGAACAGACAGAAGTTTTCCAAAGGTTAATTGTTCCAGGGACAGTATTTTCTACTTGCTCTGTTGAAAAAGTGCGCGCATATGCCCGGCCACAAAAAACGGACGCGTTAATCGCTGAAAGGCATGTGACAGTCACCTTCTGAAAGTCGCAGGCACACAGTTATCGGCACCAATGAATCCCTGTATTTAAGCAATTTAGGGCTACCGTTACCATTTCGTTCCCTTCACTGTGACCGATCAAGAGTACCAATTACCGAATATGCCTGAATTTAATGGTGACGCAGGTCCAGGATATCTGAGTTGAATAACGGAAAAGCACATTTCTCACCTCGCAAGAACGCGTCCTTGGCTAACTTTCGAGAGATTGGATATAAACAATCGAGCGATATTTTACGCTCACTTTCGAACACCGCCTGGCTATTGCTGTAGACCGATGCAACCGATCCCTTCTTTACACTACAGCATCTTCAGTGACTGCACAAAATTACGGCAAAAAACGCCATAATGAAGCCCAATTTTTCGTCCTCATCAAAAGCCTGGAGCTAGGTAGTTTTTACGATTGTGAAGAGCCTAACTCTCACGAAAGATAACGTGTGTGTGTGGGCGGCGTTCACTTATCCGTTTACCAGAAAGTCCTTCAGCATCAGATAACACGACAACTCTGACCGTCGGAAGTTTTGTCCTCGTTACTAGTGCTTTCAACTTCAAGCAAATTCTTGTGACCAGTATGATTTGATTTCTTGCCGTATTCAGATGAATTGTAGGAAGAGATTTAGTATAACTGTTTCAGGCTTTTCCCCCAACAGAATATGCTTCCAAAATTTGGGCTGGCCCAAATGGGTGCGATGTTTGGGTACTCGATAGAAAGAAGGAAGAGTCAGGCCGTTTGGTCAGCTAGTTTACCTTGAGGAGGCAAAACAAAAACCTTCGATAAAAACCAAGGTCAGTAGTAAAACACTTTTATTCCGGTACCAAATATTTGAAGCTGACAGCGGAATCAGACACAAATTCAATAAGCAAATTGAACAAGTAGTGGACATACAGGATCACAAGTTTTTTTCGGTAAATTCATTCGTGTATGTAAGCGGGAGGTCAGTGTGTCACGCGAGTGTAACGGTAAGATGATTTCGTAGATTTCAGCCGAATCGACTAATCTGGAACGCCATTTTGTCCACGTAAAAGAACACGTAGTTGCCGGGATCATGGGTCACATAGCTGAAGAACGAAATCGAAAGTATACCGAATGAACATCAGATTTGACGATGCAATGCGGCGAAAGAAACAGTGTCAACAGAGTCAACGTTCGTTAGGAGTCTCACGCCTTGATAGCATCTCCACACTAACAGTTTTCCTAACTAACCCTTGATATCTTAAAACTGTCGGCGCGTAAATAATCTCTCGCAACATTCGTAACCCTAATTTGGTCATTCTTTTGCCTGTTGTGTGTGCTTTCATTTATCTGTGTTTTTATGATAGACACCCGGGCAAGAAATTCGTCAACTGTTTTTCATCAGCCCAACAGGTAGCCTCTATGTTTTAACACTGGAGCGAATGGGACCTAAATTGAACATAATATGTTCATATATCCTGACTTTCACCCGTTCAAATTTGATATCCTATGACCTTTGGTTAAACTTACCTTCCAAAGTTCTTTCCCACGACACAGTGCCAGTGTTTACCAAATGCTGCGTCCATCTTGGTTTTTACATGCTTTGCCATCTCTGACTCGGTAGTCCTAAGTTTCATGGCATCCTTAGCATATGAAACAGCAGAGCCTTCCATGGCTTCGGGCAATTCACTCTGAATCATTTTCACCTCACTCATGATGTTGTAACAAACAGGCTTTCGGAACTGCGATGTTACGATGAACAACTTATATCACTTAGTAGCTCCTCAAATTAGTGTGGCTCCAATTAGTCCTTTGTTACACAGGTATGTTTGTAAGCATGTCCTAGAATAAATGGAATTTGGATGATGATGATGGTGATGATCCGGTGTGAACATGCTGTAAATATGTCACCTATTATGTGACCAAGGGCTCTGTGTGCGAAAAAATTCGATCAATAAAGGAGCCAATCTTTTAATCACCGTTAATCAATGCGTGATGATGGTCTCAAGCACCACTCGAATTACCTCAGTTAGTGCTGCACATGATGCATTACACTTTTTTGTGTGCATGTATTGGCATTCAATTGCCGTTTAGACTATGCAACTTTTCAGCGGGCCGCACCCCGTCATTCCGATAGCGGTGGATTATAATTTCCACAAGTCCATAAGTGTAGCCTGTTTAAAAAGATAACCCATTCGAGTTTGAGCCTTGTGGTGTCTGTGAACGCCTGGTTCTAACTGATCGTTCTTGGGTCCTTTGCCCGCCCGCCCTCTCTCTCTCTCTCTCTCTCTATATATATATATATATATATATATATATATATAT